AGGTGTTCAATTGAAGTAAGGGGACTGGGGCTATGCTTCCCCTAGATTATTGGCCCTTGCTTTCCCCTGTTTGTTCCCCTAGAAGGTTTGCTTTTATTTAACACTTATAGTAGGTTTAAGTGTTCTCATCTGGTTTGTTTATGTATAACATTTTTGTTAGGTTTAATTATATACACCTTATAGGGGCTGGCCTATACAAGCTTTGTGCTAGCTGCGTTCAGGGCTGCTGCTTTTTGAGACAAGAGTCCGGCAGTCCTCTGGCTCTCCAATAAAGGCTCATAATTTGGCCTCTTACATAGTGGTTTCTGTTTCTTGTGACTGAGTTTCCTTACAACACAAAAGAGTAAGTGAAAATTTGCCTTTTACTCTTCCAAATTCTCAGGTAGCACAGGTGGATTAAGTTTAATCAAAACTTTGTTTTTCTTTAATAGGCCTTCTTTTGAGTGTTGAAAAAAAGATTTTCCTAAGATCAGAGTTCATTATCTGTATGTATGGAAATATCACAATCCTCTTTTGCTACAATTAATATAAACTATATATGCACTATATGTACACTAATACTAATTTAAATAAGAAAAATGGTAGCTTTCAATTCACATTTTCATATTATGTAGAGTTGCTTTTTGTGTTTTGCTTTGAAATGGACCTGCATTTTAAGTGTTTTCTTCAGTTATTAAGGACTTTCTTTAAACAAATTTAAACTTACTATAAAGGTGATGTACAGAGGGATTACAATTACATAAATCAGGTAAAAGTACATTTCTTTTGGGATGTCACCCCTTCCCATGCTTTCTAAGAAATTCTTACTGAATAGACATCTCCCTCTCTTAGGAACTGTGCTGAACTCTACAGACCTAGCACTGAGGAAGAATGATAGGGTATCTATCTTCTGGAGTTTAGATATCAGAGCAAAGCTATAGAAAAAAACCACAAGTGTCTACAGAAGTATAATAGCATTAAGGATGGGACAAGGAAAGAGACAACAAGGAAGTAGGTGAGACCAGAGGGTCAGGAAGACTTCTTTGAGGAGGTAACATTGAAATGGAGACTAGAGCAATGAGATAAGGAGAATGAATTGAATCTCTCATTAGAAAGAAGAGCATTCGTCAACACTAGGTGAGAAACAGGATGAGGTTCAGTGTGACTTGAGCAAGGAGCCCAAGGAGGTAGAGATGTTTGTATACAAAGCTAGAGAGATGTGTGTAGAGTCTCAATGGAAAGGAGCCTGATAAAAAGAGCCAGTTTAGGAACTTGTGCATGTAATTGAGGCATGGGCTGTAGAAGACAGAGTCCCAAATCCTAGCTGTGAGTGCTGTTGGCCATATTACTCAAAATCTGGGATTCTTGATGTCCTTGTTGAAGAGTATGGGCATGGTGATGCTTACCTCTGTAAGATTGCTTTAAGGATTGAATGTAATAACTTGATAAAGGACTGTTATTACTAGTTCCAGACACCGTCTATACACTGATGGCAATACCTCCCAACTCTCAGCTTTGTTCCAATCTCATTCCTTACACACTCATATGCAGACAACATTAATACTTGGCAGTGTTCTAGATATTGCATAGATTTTTTAGACAGTCACAAGGTAGCAAAGGCAGAGGACTATGAGAGGCTGAGTTAGTTAATGATATTTGGAAGAGGACTAGAGAAAAGACTGGAGTGAGTCTCATGGAATAAGTCAATTTGAACATACTGTGATTGCATCCACTAAGGATCAGTGACAGAATACATTAACAAGGTGAATAGGGTTTATCTTAGGCTCTACGTGGCCTGTAGAATTGTTGAGTGATGAGGAAACAGGTGTACTTTCAGGAGCAGCTTTTAAAGTCACTTCTAGGAAGGGAGATGCTGTGATACCATCTGTCACCTCAGTAGCTTTGCAACCAGGAAATTGATCCATGTAGAATCACAGCAATGCTGTTGTTAACAGGAAACCACTGCAGCCAGGAAACTGCTACTGTTGGGATTCTAAAACCGATGTACTTCTGCAACAGATTGCATTAGCAGAATGAATACTCTTCCTTCTCCATCTAGATTCATCATGACTTAGTGAACTAGTTGCAGAACACACAAACTTCAGCAACTGCAGCTGCAGGAAAACAAAGTGCTTTTCCCAGCTGTGCCTGCTGTGAAGAATGTACAGACGATTCCAGATCTTGTCCATTTCAAACTCCACAGCACCAGAGCCTGAGCTATAAGGGAGAGAGTGAAGTATATTTTTAACTTTGCAACATCAGTAGTTAGGAAAGCACTAGGACAGTGTTTGGCAAACTACAGTGTGTGACTGATGAGAGCATCATAAAGTCAAGTCAGGTGGTAACAAGATTCTTTTTTTAGTTCTTGTTGACAATTTATTTCTTTCTCTGTGTCATGGTTAAAAACAACAACAATAAAAAAAGCTAGAAATCCACTGAGCTGAGTGTTACCTGCCAGTTTTCATTGCAGGGTCTCGTGAGAGAACTGTGGGGAGAGCCCAGTGGCTACGCATCATCTAGGGTTAGAATTTAAGAGAAAGAAAATAGTGTTTATAGTCATGAGAGTGGTCACCCAAGCTGATGGTTTGGGCCAGATTTTTGATTTAAAGGGAAGAATCTGTTTTTAGAAGTGTGCATGGTTTATGCACTCTGGGATTTTTTTCCCCCACATTTACTGTCTAGTAAAAGAGGTGGATCCAGACAAGACCCAGAGAACCTTGGAAAGCCATACATGCAGGATCGGAGACTGGCACCTAGCATGGGTCCTGCATTGCACTAGCACTAAGTACATGACTGTTTCCTAGGATGCACAGAGGGGACAAGTGCTTAGCAAAGATACAAAGAGTCCTTCACATTCCAGAGATGAAGTTCCTGCTCACAAGCTGTGAGCATAGAAGAGTTTAAACCCTCACTCGCCATGGTTGCACAGAAGCTTTGGGGAGCCATTTATTTACCAAGAGTACTTCGGCAGTATGGAAAAATAGTGGGTTGGGTAATTGGTTTAGGTGTTAGTGTGAGGCCTTGAGTTCAAACTCTAAACTTCAGAAAAGGAAATGTGTTAACAGGGAGTGGGAGCTGTTGAACCCCAGATTTATTTATCACAGCAATCTGTGTAATAATAAAACCATGAAGAATGCAGATCACAACAGGTTATATAAAGTATATCATTTATTTAAAATATAATGTCACACAAAATTGAACTATATATTCTTAATGAAAAATGCCAACGTATGTAAATAAAGGGCACATACAAACTTCTAGAGTCAGTCAACTCTAGATGGGAAATGGGCAAATGGGACAGTAGGAGTTTAGTTATCTGGATTTTTTTTCAAGAGAAGCACAGATGGCAAAATATCAATAGTTATTAAATAAGCTGATAAAGCAAAGAAGAAGTATTTTCTGTTTTGTTCTTAATTAAAAATAAATAGAAGCATACACAAACAATGCCGTTCCTAGAGCAAGAATCAAACTTTCTTCCTTGAACCAGGTTAAGTAGATGACTTGTAAAAATTATTGGTAGGCACACACACACACACACACACACACACACACACACACACACACACAGAGGCACACAGACAGACATAACTTCAAATTAAAGAAACAATATTCTTTATTGAAAAAAATACTGGCTTGATCATATAATATTTTTTCTTTTTCTTTTTTGTTGGTCATGGGGCTTGAACTCATGGCCTGGATACTGTCCCTAAGCTTTTTTGGCTCAAGGCTAGCATTCTACTACTTTGAGCCACAGCTCAGTTCCACTTCCAGTTTTCTAGTATTTAATTGGAGATAAAGTGTGTCATAGACTTTCCTGGCCAGGATGGTGTTGAACCATGGTCCTCAGATCTCAGCCTCTTGAGTAGTTAGTATTACAGGTATGAGCCACCAGGACTTGGCCCATATAGTTCTTTAGTTTCTGAGAGTCATAACTTTAAGATTGGGAGACACTAACACTTTTCTGTGTTTCAACCATGTGCTACAGAAGATGGAGACCATTGTTGTCTTATATTTCAGTTATGATTCTGAAGTGATTGGGATGTAATGGGGTAGGGAAGAGAAAAATCTCTGGATGTTGAAGACTATTTAATTAGAGCCCTGAGAAATTACAGAAAGGGTCCAGGAGAAACCCAATAAAATCTGGTGAGAAATATCAGAGATAGGAATCAGGAGATGGGATTGAAATCCTTGTGAGGGCTATGTGTCTGTTCCCAAGGGGCTGACATCCAGTAGGAATTCCATTGGTGTTAGCTGTTTTCTAAGGCTCGTTCTAGGGATGACTCTGATGACTTCCCTTTTGATTTATGGGTTTTGTCCCCATTAAAGAATGATAGTGATATTCTGGTGTTTCTGGAACGCTCTCTGGTTTTTTGAATTGTGGTCTAATTCCCTCAGTACTTTCTCCATTGGGTACCTGTTTCTAACAAACCCTTTCTGTGCACTGGGCCATTATCTGAGCCATCTTGTCTGCAGCTGAAGGATTCTGCAGAGGATAAGATTGTCTAGTAACAGGAAGGAGCTCAGTGGTGATAGAAAACAGGTGACAATAGTCACTGATCTATGTACATTGCACTTGCTATATTTCAGCAACTCACCCATCTCCTTCTGCAAATTCTGCAAGTTTGTGTGTGTGTGTGTGTGTGTGTGTGTGTATGTGTGTGTGTGTGTGTGTGTGTGCATGTGTGTGTTCAGTGTGGGGTATGGGAGGAAGGGAAGAGGAAAGGTGTGTTAAGCTCAAGTTACCAAAGAGGCATGTGTCTCAAATAGCCTGGGTTCTCTGTGAGATGCCTGACTGATTTCATTTGCACAGATATCATTTGCTTATATGGTTCCCAGGGCCTAGTTAATCCTCAAGAATAATAGAATTTGAACTTCCTGGATTGTTTACTTCCTATTAGTTGACTTATTAATAATTATTGGCTTCTACTTTTGCTTTGTTGTATCATCATCATTATCATCATCATTAATATTTGGTACTAGAGGGGTTTGAACTTAGGGATTTATACCTGCTAGTCAGGCAGTCTATCACTTGAGCCATACTACTAGCCCTTTTTGATTTTTAGTTATTTTTTAGTTAAGTTGTCCTGCTTTTTCCCAGGTCCAAACTTGGTTCCTGATACTTCCACCTCTGCCTACTATGTAGCTGGGATTATTGTACCAAATCACTATATTTGGTTTACTCTTTGAAATATAGATTACTAACTTTTTGACTGTTTTGGCCTTAAACTCAGAGTCTCTTAATCTCAGGCTCTCAAGTAGCTGGGATTACAGCTGTGAGCTACCACATTTAGCCTGCCATATTATTCTTTAAATGTGCTCCTTGTATCTTTTGTTGTTGATTCTCTGAGCACTGTGTGATAGGAACTGAGATTAGAAACATTAGTTTATACACACTTAGGTTACATAACTTTTCAAGAATGAAGGAATTTATGAAGATTCATTTGTCCTACATTTGAATACAACTCAAATGCAGATGTGCGTTTCTTTCCAGCTCTGTGTTCTCAAAAGCTGTTCCTATTTGACTACATACCACTTGGCTTGGGAAATTCAAGGCCTATTCCAATGCATATTCCTCCTGAAGAACCTACTCAATAAAAAGGGTGAAGAGAAATGTAAAGTTTTACTGAACATTTCATAGAGGAGACCGAGGAGGAAGTTGGCATGGCTCCTGCTCAGGAAATGACCTAATGATGTTTTCCTTTGGTCATTTTTGTTTACCCACAGCCCTCTCATCTGTACCACAACTGTTATTCTTTCTTCTTTAAACCTTTTCTTTGACAGTCTTTTCTCTTCCTTGAAAAAATGCAAATTTTGCTTTTTTTTTTTTTTGCATAATACCCAAGGAGGCCTCTTTTCTTTTGAGGATACCTCAAAGCCCAAGGGCTCACAGCAACTGAAATAGTTTGTCAAAGACCTACTTCAACAAATAAGGAGTCATCCAAAAGGATGAAGGAGGAAAGTCAAATTTGTTGTAGTTAAGAGAAATCTCATGGCCCTGGAGTCAGGAGAGGAAATAGCTGTAGGTTCGAAGTTTTCACCATTTTCAGGGTTCCTGTTTTCTGTCAACAACTTTGTAGGGGATTAAAGACCCTCACAGAATTGTCTCTCACGAGTTGGAAGTAGGAAATATACATCAATTACCAAGGAGGTGGAAGCAGCTTTGCCCTGCTAAATGACGTCATCACTTTGACCATTACAAGCTGGCAGAGGGTTGGCTGAACATGGGAGCATTCTACAAGGTGCCTTGAACCTTGTCCTTATGACCAGCTAAAAGAAAGTGCAGCCGGATGTTGGGGGTGCCATAGTTTTTATATTGGTATATGGGTCCTTCCTTTGGTTGTGAACTTCCAGAACACTTATCCAGAATCTCAGCTTACAAATCTGATCTTCAGAGGTGAAAACATTTTTGGAACAAAATTCAAACCCAGTCCTCTTAGTTATTCAGATCTGTATCCTGAGCTCCAAGGAAAGGAAAGAATAGATCAGCATCAAATAGTGAATTAGTGGTTGAGTTGGAGCAACCCAGTCCCTTCTGATTCCCTAGCGCCTCTCTGTCAATCATACCACATTGCTTCCCTGTTTGCCTCTGAAAGATACCTTACTTTTTTTTAAACCTTGGAGTTGTATCTTTCCAAGACATACAAGGAGAAAACTATACTATTTAATTCATTTTTTTGTGATTTCAGTCTTTTTTTTTCCCAAGTGTTTGGATGGATGCAGTATTGTATGGTTGAGAGTTGCTTTCTTCTTGAAGGCCAAGTGAAATGGTTCAGTCTGAACTGCTGTACAAGAAGATGGACAGCACATTGTCAAGGGGAAAGGTGACTGTATCCACATATTGGAATTGATCCACTGTGACTGATACGGTTGTGTTGACCTGCAAGTAATCAAGTAAGAACTGAGAGAGATTCTGGTATATGCTTTTGGTGTGTACTCCGGCCTCACATACTGTCACGAGGGCCTGTTTCTTGACTATTTTGTTGACACGGAGCTCTAACTTCAGGTCCACGGAACGATTTGAGCATTGCATGAGGAACTGAACTTGGCACATGATGAAGTACCAGCCTGGGAACTGGATGACCAGATCCCCGTCCCGGTATCTGACTTCGTGGATGATACCGTCAGGGTTCCAAGAGAGCTTGGAATTGTTGAGGTACTTCGACACTGGAAGGAACAGATAGAGAATGGTTGGTCAAATTGTAGGTACTGATGGAGAAACTGTCTTTACGTTCAAGGTTCCCATGAAGGGTCTATGTTTTCTATAGTGTTTTCCTCCTATACTAAACATCTGCTTGTTTTTCATGTTACTGCTAGAGTCAACTTTGGTTTCAAGGCATGGGTAGAAAGCCACTCCTCTTTCCTTTACTCTAATGTTCAAAGCCAGAGGACCAGAGCATACCTGATAGTGGACTTCTACTTCCCAGAGAATAGTTTCCCTGTCAATTTTTTTTACCATATTATTATGTTCTTCTTATGGCTATTTCATGTCTTAGACTGTAAGCTCCTCAACTGTGTTCTGCACAAGTATCGCCAAGTTTCAGAGCTAGGACATTTGATATTACTCACTTAAAAGAATCGAGGTGTATCAACTTGTTCAAGAGAATCTTCACTAGCTTTCATATGAAGGTATCACCTCGTATTATATACAGGTATGAAAATATCACAACAAAAGGCATTGTTTTGTAGGCTTAATATACACTGATGTTTATTAGAAGTGTATCCTTGAATGTGATCTGAATTTTTGAATGTGTCTTTTCTACAGTAGCCAAACATCCTTGCACAGGTTCCCCATGGACACACTGAATAGCCCTGCCACCTGGGATTTAAAGACAAACAGGAAATTAGCAGAACCTCTGAGCTGACACATTTGTGTCAACGCCAAGTCTCTGAGTCTTAACAAATGAAAATTAGCACTGACTGATAAGGGTGCCTTCAGAACCGGGAAGTTGGCTTGCTGATTTTAATTGATTCTGTGTTTTTCCTTTAAGCCTTGTAATGATTCAGTGGAAAGGTAAGAGCTAATCTAATCGCAGAACTGAATGCTTAAAATGAGCAAAATGGCTATTCAGAGAATCTTGGCCATCTCCTCCATATCTCATTGTTTTCTCCTTTAAGTGGCTTTATTGTTCCATTTAGAAGGGACTCATACCTGAAGCACACTGCAATATGCAAATAGGTCCTGTGCCAACATGTTCATTAAGCTGTCAATGGAGGGACAAGGCAGTTTTGTGGTTCTCTTGTGAATAACTTCTTAGAGGCAGAGATGAAGAGCCTGCTTCCCTTCCCTTGCATTAGGAAAAGGACTAGGTACTTGGTCAAAACTCTTAGGTGTCTCAATAGTCAGGGGTGATGAGGGGAGGTGGGGAATGGAGGGATGTGCATAGAGGACAAAAAATACCTTCACAGGCCAGGTAGGTAATACTGGAGTGAATAGGGTTAAGGAGCAAGGACCTTTGTAGCTCTGGTGAGAACCTTGCTCTTCTTTTCTCCCTCCTCCTTTCCCTCTAAACCTTCAAATTCAGATTATAAAAAAATGTGGCACAGGCTAAGCCAAGCACATGTGCAGGTCCTACTCAGCCATGAGTTTTTAATTGAGCCTTCTGGTTCACAAGTTGCCCTAGGCAGTGGCCTTCATGTGGTTAGGTTTCCTGGATTTGGGTACTGACCTTGGAGGTAGGCCCATGACTTCTTGAATGGAGCCTTTTTCAGAATACATAGGAGGTCCTCTGAGCAATTCCCTAAAAGCAAGGAGATCAAACATGAATCGCCTTCTGTGACTCTGGTATCTGTGGACATCAGAACCTTTTCCATGACCCTTTGAGGCTGAAATTAGCATTCTGTTTTCACATGAAGGGATAAAAATTGCTTCAGTTCTCATTTTGCTGTGAAATTATCTTCAAACTTTTACTGTTCTAAAGTTTCTGTTGCGTTGTTTGCCTTCCAAGTGGGCTTTTCTACAGAAGACTATAGAAATCAGGAGAAGGAAACAAGTATGCCCTGTGAAGGACTTGCCTCTCCCTTCTTGGCCCAATTGTTTTATATATCCAAAGATGAAATATGAGGGATTAACCCTCACCCTATTATCCCAGATGCATACAGATGTCAGGCAAAACCCTAGGTATGCTTGGATGGGCTTGATGTGCAGGTAGGGCAATCCACATAAGCCTGCCTGTAAATATTCCATGTGTGCACAATTGAACGCCCCCACCTCCCTAGACCTAATGTTTTTTTTCTTTTTTTCATTAGCCTCTGCATCCTTGTTTAAGACCCCATAAGCGTCCAATTCCAACTCCACCTCCTTGTACAACCTCTTACCCAAGGGAAGGTTGTGGTCCTCACTGTTATGTCCCAATAAACAGTCTTAGCCTCTTGAGATTCGGGTCCAGTCTATTCCCTTTTCCTTTCTCCTCCATTTTCCTAACACCCTGAGTTCCTACAAATGTAGCAAGTGCCTCTCATCTTTGAAGCAACAGAGAGGGGATAGGGAGGAGGGAGGGAGAAAGAGAGGGAGAGAGAGACAGAGACAGAGAGACAGAGAGATACAGAGAGAGAGAGACAGACAGAGAGAGAGAGACCCTACCTATCATCAAGTCCTCTTACTCAGCCAGGCAGGAGTTACTCCTCCTCTGGTAGAAGCTACTCCTTCCTACCTTTGGTGTGCATACCAGACACTATTCTGGTACTTTGACCTGCATCATTTATCTGGCTGTCTCAGAATAATGTTGAAGGGTTAACCCTGATGCCTAAATCAGGGACATCCTCCAGGTTGAATAAACTCATCAAAATGCTGGCCTTTGTGCTGTCTGTCTGATTCTAGAAACCAAGTTTCCTTCTACAGTCCATTTTGCTAGACAACAAAGATCAAAACAGCTTTCCCCCCAATGTTAATAGGACAGCGGATTAAAGATATCTCAGCAGGAAGCCTACCATCTGCAGCTTCTTTGGCAGAGGCAAGCACAGCATCTATGTCATTATGGTGTTTAGGAAATTAAAATATTTTAATATTTTCACCTGGGATGATAGCTTAGCTCTTTATTATAGTAACTGTTCTGTATGCAAAGAATCAACTTAAGACATTTCCTTCAGTGACTCAGGAGTTTAGTGTATTGAGAGCAAATGTTCCCCTGTCTGTACCACCGAGAGGTCTCTAACCTACATTGATGTTTTCTTGGTGATGGCAGCTGCGATGACCACTCAGACACATGACAGGGGTCTAAGCTCCAGGTGTCCACTGCCTCTCTGAGAAGCTTCTTGATTATCTTCTCTGCTTAAGCCTGAGAAACAGGCTTGGGAAGAGTACAAGGTGAGCTGAAGAGGCTGCTTGCTCTCTTGTCTGAGCAAACTCACTGATAAAGCACGCCCGTTGAAAGAACTGGGGGGCACATTTTTCATCTTTAAAGAACTCTGGCTCAAAGCATCCTTTGGTGGTGAGGACTGGTGGGCCAGCTGTCTGTGTTCCAGTCCTACCTGCTGCAGCAGCCACTCCTCCCCATCCCCCCCCCCCCCCATCCCTGCCCTCACTCTTGGGGCATCTGGAATCAGAATGTGAGCACTGCTATGCTCCTATACACTACTATTATAGTACTCCCCCCCCCCCCCCCCCAGCCCAAGCTTCATTATACTCCCCCTGGCCTGAGCTCCTCTATGGAGTTATATTACAACAAGTCAGAGGCAGTTCTGGCTTGAATCTCAGAATCGCTTTTGGGTATTTTTGCCTGTGTGATAATGTCCAAGCTGCTTAGAATGGTATTCAGAGTCCCTTAGGTTCTGACCCCTACCAAACTCTCCAGTCTCATCCCTTCTCCCCTCCCATTCCACTTCCCCCCCCCCCCTCCTTTTCCTCCTCTCTACCTGCTAATCACCACCATCATCACTACTGTCATGATCTCTACCACCATCCCAGGGACTCGAGCAATAATAATAGCTAACATGTATTGGGTGGTTGCAGTGTTCTAGGTGCTCTGCTAAGTCATGTTACATTTAATTTTTACAATTTACATAATTTTCACAACTCTCCCTTGAGACAGGACCTGAAGTCTATTACATACTCCAGGACCTGTTCAGTGACTTGTTGATATTCACACAGCTAGTTGGTGGTAAGGTACAGATTCTAACTAGAACTGTGGGACTCCAGACCTGAGTGGCTTGTGAACTGCATCATGTTGATCTGTCATTCTGGGTGGTACCTCCTGTTCCCTCTACAAGACACTCCCACCTTCATCAGCCTTATTGTTGTAACACTGCCTGGCAGTCATCTCCAGAACCTTCTCTGACCCTTCCTCTCTTTGCTTATTTGCCTCCTCCATTAGATTGTAAACTCTCAGGGAAGCTCCGAATATGCTCTGCCCAGCTCAGAATATGCTCTGTGAATGTTGAATCGAGTCCTCTAGTCCAGCTCCCTTATTTTCCTCCATGGAGAGCAGTTAAGTCCTTATGCCCCGGCATGAATGAGGTGATGTGGGCTTCTGGCTGGCCTGGTCCCCTCAGGGCTGGAATAACACCAGGGTGTGCAGGTCAGCTCTGGGCTGAGGCTCACATCAGCAGCAGCCCTGTGTACTCAGCCTAGGGCGGCATCTGTCAGGTACCAGTTTACAAGTAGATGGTGAGAGAAGGCAAGCCCAGGCCTGCCTCTCACATGCAGATTCTTTTTGTTGTTGTTTTCCCCCCTTTTGGTCTTCACTGCTTAGTGAGGTGACCTCAGCTGTAATTCTGAGAAACCCAAGGATGGGAAAAAAAACAAAAAACCTCTTATGTTGAAGCATTTGCATTTCCTGAAGGCAAATGGCAGGACATATTTTAGTTGTTCTTAAAGAATCAGATACTTTTCAAACTAGAGGATGGCCTTGCCACAGCTGGTTCAGGGGTGGGGATGGGGGGCTGGAAGCAAGACTCTAGAGGTGCCGTGGAGGGATGGGTGCTGTTGAACTTGGAGATGACTCCAAAAGAGGACACATCTATTGCATTTGACAAAGCTGAAGTCCGATTTGGGAGTCCTTTAGATAGAGGCTGAAGAAACAAAGTCCTCAGCCCTCACCCCCACCTCCCCATTGTCAGAGTGGCACTTGGGAGACCTCCACTAATAACAGGTGTCACCCTGCAAGTCATTGAGCTGGCACCTCAGACGTTTGACCAGACCACACTACACGGAGATGGGGTGGGCTGAATCCTGAGACTCTTGTCAAAAACTAGTAATATTCTATGGGTAAACAGATGTGCGGCTCAAGTGTCCTGATCACCCTGTGAGTCTAATGATAGGACTCTGTCTTTGGGCATGAAGAAAAGAATGACTGACTTGGGAAAGAGAGTGCCACTTAAAGTGGGAATCCTGCAAACTTCCTGGAGCTTAGGACTTACGGAGCATTGAAGGTCTCCTTGTCTCCCTGCTGAATGTCTTGGAGGGCTTTTTTTTTTTTTGACAATCAGAATATGAGGGAAATGAGAACTGTCTGTAGGTAGTGACTGAGTTGATAGGGAGTTGGAGTCTTGGAGTTTCCATTCCTATTTAGATGGAGGGCAGTGTGGATTCGTGACCTAGAAGATCCTTCCTAGAAAACTCTAGCAGGCTATGCAGACTTGACTCTCTTTTGCTAGAAGTGACTGGGATGTCAGCCCTAATCCCAGAAGCTTGTCTTTGTGGGCACATGTTCTGCACATATTCAGATTTCCAGAGCTCTTGTCTTCAATGACATAACATTTTACTGCTGGGGGATATTGTACGTTTCCTGAGGGAGCACCGGGTCCAAGCTTGGTGTACACACAATGGATGTGCTCCCCAATGTTGCCCCATGGCTCTGACTCTTAAGTTACCCAGGGAGTGAGTAACATAGGACCAGAGCCCAGAGCTCCATTCTTCTTTTGTGGGGCTTTCTATCTTCAGATAATCAGAGTACTCGCCATTTCTCTGAAGACCAAAGCTTTCAGATGCATGAATGTCTCCAAGCTCTGGCACAGAAGGCTCTAGAAGGATCTTGGACTTTTCTTTGGTTTTGTTTGGAAGGCTGGAGAGAAAAATATGCCAATCAAACCCTCCAGTTGCTCAGGGGAAACAGATAGGATAGATTTAAGGACCATGTTGTAGAAGGCTTATGGCAACTTTTAAACTAGACCCAACTTGGAGAAACTGCAAGGGCCATGTTAACAGAAATCCTAATTTTATAACTGAGAAGACAGAATTCAGAGAGACAGGGTCTTGTTCAAGACCCCAGAGGAGGTTATCTAAGTAATAGAGCTGCACTCAAATCACAAGGCTCCTGACTCCCGGTCTGGACCTTTGCCTCTGTGCACTTATTTCTCTCATGGTACAGGTAGGGTTAAATCCAGAAAGAAGAAGTTTTTCAATCACCACAGACACTGGAACTAAAGCTTGTGGAGACAGCTGGAGGTGATGGGAAAACAACACTAATGAGCCTGCCTGGTCTTCGTGTGGGAGAATGCCAGCAGATGAATTCAGGCTCGTGTGCTAAACCTTGCCAAGTCACCAGTCAGGGGCCATCAGGCTTCTGTAAAGATATAACAGTGCTCAGGGCAGCTCTACCTCAGCTAAAGCACCCAGGTGGATCATTCCATCCAGATGGTAGTGGTCTGAGTGCCAGATGACTTGTAGCTCTGTGGTACCTAAGGTATAAGGGGTGGGGGAGGGCAGATGCAGTACATCTCCAAAGAAAAGAGCATCTGGTGCAAGGAGTCTTTTACCTTTGGATCTGCTGCTACACCAGTGAAGGGAAGTGACAACCAACCC